GAAAGGCGTAGTAGCGACGAGAGGGATACATCGTCGGAGAAGGGAGGGAGGAGATTAAGTTCGGCCACGGATGATAGCCAGGATGTTTCGTTTCATGGGCCGGAGCGTGTGAGGGTGAAGCAGTATGGGAAATCATGTAAAGAACTCACTGCTCTTTACAAGAATCAAGAGATTCAAGCCCACACTGGGTCTATCTGGAGCATTAAGTTTAGTTTGGATGGAAAATACCTTGCTAGTGCTGGTGAGGATCGTGAAATTCATGTGTGGAAGGTAGTTGAATCGGAGAGGAAAGGGGAGTTGTCGATGGAAAAGGTGGATGATGGGAATTTGAACTTTCTGCTTGTGGCTAATGGATCTCCGGAAACAACTCTGTTGTCCCCGATTTCAGATCATCATCCTGAGAAGAAGAGAAGAGGAAGGTCGTCTATAAGCCGAAAGTCATTGAGCTTGGACCACATTGTGGTGCCAGAGACTGTTTTTGGGCTTTCAGATAAACCTTTTTGTTCTTTTCGAGGACATTCCGATGATGTGCTCGACCTCTCATGGTCCAAATCTCAGGTTAGTCACCATTCTTTAATACTCTCGAGTATGTTGAGAAATATGTATCAATGTAGAGTGATTAGTTTGATCATTATTGAGCTTTCCTTTTAACAAGGATTTGTGGTATAGTTTCCAGCTAGCCTGAAGTAGACAAAGGAATGTATTTTTGTTTTTTCTATTCTAAACTGTGCTTTGTGAGACGATTTCTTGATCAAATTTTGGTGGCAAATTGAAATTCAGAGTCGGACTGTCTGTGTGCAATGCATTCAATGAAATGTTATATGTGAAAAAGCCATAACTTATTTGTGTAAATGTGACTTTCATCAAAATGTAAGAACCACTGCCATTGCTTGTGTGCTTTTCACTCCATGAGGAAAATAAGTGGTCAAAATGTTACATGTCTCCATGCTTTTCTCGACAAAACTGTAATTTGTCATCTTGAGGCGCAAAGGATCCACGAAATACAAAAAAGTAGTAGAATTTCTTCTAAATTGGTTAGCAAACAAGTAGAAATTTGTGGACATGGTGAAGTTTTAAAAATGTATAGGTCTTAAGTTCCAGAAACCAAAAACCATATTTCTTGCTGGTTATTTTTGTAGGCTGTATTTTGGCTTATGAAGGAAATGATCTAACAAGTTCGCTGGGCACTTTTTTTGGCCATGTGCAACATGAGCATTATTGGAAAGTGTACTTTTGCATTGTTGATGAGAGGCTTGATCTTTCTATTGGATGTGTCTTTTTCCCTTTTCTGGTCTTTGATGCGTTCTTCCTTTGCCAAGGATTTTGGCCAAGGTTAAATGACGCCCTTAATGTACCTTGTATAAAGCGCTCATGAATGTTACTGTTTCTAACTATATACTCTTTCAGATCATCATAGGACTACTTTCGAGTTTTGCACATCTTTAATATTGAGTTAAAATATTAGAAATGTTTAATTTTCTACCACCACAATTTTTGGTAAAACACTTACAAATGTTAATGGCGTGTATCCATAATTGAATGCCTTAAAAGTCCTTCAAATTTTGAAGGATGCTGAAGTCGTGTACTCAGTCGGTCTAGAATCTATGTTTTCCTTTTGTATTTGCAGGAATCTTATCGAGAGTCGAGAGGTTATTGTTAAAACTTTGTTGTGAATGTTTGTTTCCAGCTTCACTGCTTAACCTCTATTAGAATCATGATCCCATGCGGGAGGATATTCTGGTAAACATGTTTATATTTGTTCTTTTCAGCAATTGCTCTCATCTTCAATGGACAAAACAGTGAGGCTTTGGGACTTGATTAGCAAGACTTGTTTGAGAATATTTTCTCACAGTGATTACGGTAAGTGAATTGTAAATTTCATGTCTTTAGCTTTATCCCCTCTTTTTTTTTTTAATAAACAGTTACCCTTCCCTCAGGAAGTGGTAAATGTTTTGAAACTTAGTCCTTTTTCATAGTTGTAATAAGCTATGTATTAGTTAGAAAAAAGTAAAAGACTCTTTTAAGTTTTCTTAGTGCAGATTCAATGGAATCAGCAATCCAAATATCCACCATAAAAGTAATATGTTATTATTTATTTATTGTTTTCCATCTCGTGCAGTAGGTTTATGTATTGCTAATCATGCATCATTTTTTTGTGTATTTGCCTTGACACAGTAACTTGCATCCAGTTTAATCCAGTTGATGATAGATACTTCATTAGTGGATCACTAGACGCTAAAGTACGCATATGGAGCATTCCTGATCGTCAAGTCGTTGATTGGAATGATCTGCATGAAATGGTCACTGCTGCTTGTTATACACCTGATGGCCAGGTTGGGCAATGATCAATGTCGGGTTTATTCTGTGTAACATACAGTCTTTTGCTCATGGAACTTCTAATTGTTTTGAAGGGTGCACTGGTTGGCTCATACAAAGGAAGCTGTCGCTTATACGATACTTCAGGTACAACTTCATGAGTTCTATCAACTCTGTGGTCTGCTTATCGTTCATTTTCAACGGAAGTTTTCTTAAATGTTTGAATATATGCATTTTTTCCAGAGAACAAGTTACAACCAAGAAGTGAAATCAATTTGCAGAATAAAAAGAAGTCTCATCAAAAGAAAATTACAGGTTTCCAGGTAATCCACATGGAAGGAAAGCATAAATCCTTTTCTAGTTGGATTAGATATTCTTTACTTGAATCTATTGCATATTTCTTGCTGCAATGTGTTCACTTTATTCTTCCTCAATTGGTTGCTTTCTTGAAACAGTTTTCACCCGGAAGTTCATCGGAAGTACTCATCACATCAGCAGATTCTCGAATTCGTGTTGTTGATGGGTCTGATTTAATTCACAAGTTTAAAGGTAATTCATTATATTTGTACAATATAAATATTAAATACAGATGGTTGGATTTGAAAACGATTGACCATAGAAGATAGTGATTTTTGCTGAGAGAGCTAGGAAGTAGGGAAGACTGAAGATGACTCTTCATATTCATACGTACTTCAACTAATAGAGTTGGTATGTGCTGGTGTATCATGGTCTGCATATCAACTCTTTAGAGTTGGTTTTTCGGTTTTAAATTTGGATGCTAACTTTGTTCGTTGCCCTTGAAAAAGTTTCATTGTTGTCTAGTATGTATTGATATAAAATTCTGGAGTTGTGCTGATTCAGCCGAAGTTGCTGTTGATTTCGTGACAGGATTTCGGAACACAAACAGCCAAATCTCAGCTTCTGTTACGGCAAACGGAAAGTATGTTGTCTCTGCTAGCGAGGACTCTTATGTTTACGTGTGGAAACAAGAAGCAGAATCACGGCCTAGCAGAAACAAAGGAGTCACCGTAACGTATTCTTTTGAACATTTTCACTGTAAAGATGTATCGGTGGCCATCCCTTGGCCAGGCATGGGTGACACATGGGGACTAGGAGATTCTCAATTGAATGATCAAAATTCTTTTGACGACCATATCGATGAAGTTTCAACAGCCAATCATCCTCCTACACCAGTTGAGGAGTACAGCGGAAACGAGGGTTTGTTATCAGCAACTGGGTGCACCAATAGCCCTCTCCATGGAACCATTTCTAGCGCAACCAATAGCTACTTCTTCGACAGAATCTCGGCTACATGGCCAGAGGAGAAACTTCTTTTGGCAACTCGGGCCAGGAGCCCCAAGATCAGCGTGGACTTCTCCCTTGGTGTAAACCCAAACATCTCAGCCTGGGGTATGGTGATTGTGACTGCCGGCCTACGAGGTGAGATCATAACTTTCCAAAATTTTGGATTGCCTGTTCGAATCTAACGAGCTGAAGAAAGAAATGGTAGGGAACATCAAGGACCATTTGGTGAACTTGTGTACAGAGAGTGAGTTATTGGTTGAGATTTGTAATATTAGCTGAGTTTCATTCCTTTCTTTGTGCCTCTGCTCAGTTGACGTGGGAGTAATGGAAAACCACTCCATTTGAGCAATGAGGAAAGTATAGATTTGCTCAGAGAAAAAAAAATACACCATGAATTTAGATACAGATGTATTTTCTGATATCAGAAAATGTAGAGTTAAGATGATAGGGCGAAAAGCCCATTGAATTGAAAATGAAATTCTTTTACTATTCGTTTTCTTCACTCCATTCTTATTGTCTTGAACAACATTTAACAGTCAAAGGCCACAAACATGAAAGTCTTATACAGGAAAAATATGTTGAAAGCAACTTGGATTTCATAAGGGAATCTTGCTTGAGATGGTTCGACCCGAGGTTGAATACGGACAATCACCTCCATGCATCTTTCTTTCTGTTATAAGTTTCTCTGCTCTATCGGACAAGAAGGAAGCAAATGCTTTGGCCCTATATATAAGTATCCCACATTGCCGGTCAATCGATACAGTGAAAGGAACACACAGGCATCCCCGGTTATACCATGATAGATTCATACTCACTTAAACAAAAGACGCCTCCAAACTACCTCTCCGGCATCCAATGCCAGTTGTCGAAAGTCCTTGTCTCCGGAAACCTGTCGATTTACAGCATAATACAGAAAAGGGACCCGATATACTGCAATTATTTTTCAAACAATTTGTAAAGGAGAAAGGTGGGTGACAACGCGAACCTCTGCTATGCTTTTACTAGGGTAAGTGTGATCCTAGGAGCACCGCGACACCAATGTATAAAGAGATAATCTCAGTCGTCTATTTAAATTTATCGAATGATCTTGAATTAGTGATCCTTGCGTGTGTGTATATATATATATAAAAGAGAAAAATGATATATTCATATTTTCGAAACCACTTGCACTCATTATTGCCCACCTTTATGGATAGAGCCTACAATACAGCAAAGACATAAATTCAAAGGTTAGTGGACCGCTGTTTCCCAACTAAAATGACTTTGACTATTCTTTTGTTTTTATGGTTTGCCAAAGGAAAAACTTTGAATATTCAAACAAGCTTTCCTATAAGTGCAAATATTTAGATGCTCTTCAATAACATATCATAGATATAGCCGATTACAAAACAAAGTCATGGGGTTTCGTTGTATGTTAATGGAGCTTGCTCTGTTTTCTATTAAGCTGACAGTCATGGCAACTTCATTTGCAGCTGAAGCAAAACCTGGCTGCCAAACCCACTGCGGCGGAATCACAATCCCTTACCCTTTCGGAACAGGCAGTGCCGAATGTTACATCAACGAGAGCTTTTCCATTCGTTGTAACACAAGTTTCGACCCTCCGAGAGCGTTCTTAACCACCACCGATATCGAAGTCCTCCACATCTCCGTCGATGGTTATTTGCGAATCCGATATCCGGTGGGCTACGACTGTTATAATTCATCGGGAAGTAGCAGTTATTTCAATGCGGGGTTCACGCTCGAAAAATTCTACATATCTCACACGAGAAACAAGTTCACGGCCATCGGTTGCGACACCTACGCTTACATCGAGGGCTTCGTCGGGCGGACGTATTCGACGGGATGCGTGTCGTTTTGCTACGACGCGGCTGAAGTGGTAAACGGATCTGGCTCCGGCATCGGTTGCTGCCAGATTGATATCCCTAAAGGAGTGACGGATTATAGATTAAGTTTCGGTAGCTATTGGAGCCACTCAAAAGTGTTGAGCTTCAATCCTTGCAGCTATGGATTTGCAGTGGAAGATGGAGTCTATGGCTTCTCTCTATCTCATTTTCTCGACCCTGATTTCGGCAAAAAGAAGTTCCCAATGATTCTTGATTGGACAATTGGGAACCAAAGCTGCACAGAAGCTAGAATGGATCCACAAAATTATGCTTGCAAGGAAAACAGTGCTTGTATAGCTCCAGCAAATGGCCGTGGATATTTATGCAAGTGTCTTCATGGCTCCAAGGGTAACCCTTACCTCTCCCACGGCTGTCAAATTTAGGTTCAGTTTTTAAATATCAATATAATTAAATAAAGATTGCTTAAAAAATAATTTAATATCCTAAAGTTTATAAATAGAAGTAGAAGTTTATAATAAATACTGCAAAATCAAACAAAAATAATTTAATATCCTAAAGTTGCGTATATAATAATCGACATAAAATAAATAGCATAAAGTCTGTAAAACATCTATACTATGACTGTACGGAAAATGTGCTAATAATTGATCCTCCACGTACCGGTCATAACCCTAAGGGTCAAAAAAAATCTAAAAAGACAAACTAAAAGAGTGAGCAAAAAAGCACAGTGTGCCCTCTACAGTAAAACATATAGCAATAAATATATATATAGCAGCACAGTTAATGTGTAAACAATAATATCAGAATTTATTCATCAGAGTGTAACATCATTAACATGCAATTATGTCTTTCGTCGCGGATAAACAACATGTGGGTGTTCCCTCCGAAGAGGATCCCAGTCAGAAATAGAAATAGGTATGGGGATTTAACCCTCCAAAGAATATCTCAAACAGAAACAAGATGGGGACATAATCTCGTGCAAAAACAAGACGGGGAATTAATCCCATGCATAATCAAGAATGCATTAGTCTATGGATCATGAGTGATTCAACATTATTCAGAAATCAGAAATGCCACAAATAATTGTAATTAGATTACAAACATGTTTTCTAACACTAACATATAACACAATAGCATAATACATTGAAAGTAAGGAACAACTCTAGAGAACACACCTATAGAAGATAATCAATATCGGCTAAGCCTTACGTTTCCCACGATCTTCTCACGATCGGTAGTACTAGGTCTTGCGGAACGAGAACATAAAACAATACCCTTCCATGAATACTGATGCCAAGCAACCATACAGATATATACTATAAAGCCACTAATTAATACCTACGCGTATCTCGAAAAGAGCTATCAGAAACGATCCGAGCAAGACGAGAGTAATCAAGGTTTATTGGAGAGCGACCTAGAGACATGAGAGTACCTTGACCAAAAAGTGAGTCCAAAAACCCATAATTCAAATAGGGTTTTCATGTCAGAATTTGACAAAACAGATTGCAAAAACGTTCTCAAGACGTCGAAAAATATAGAGGTAGGGGTCTTTAAAAAAGTCAACATGTCAACGGGTCTAGCCGGTTCGGTCCAAAAGTAAACCGGTTCAACCGATTTTACAAATAAATGCAGTCTCCCACAAGAGCACGGTGGCGTGTGAAGCAGTTTCTGATGATTGGAAAAATACCACAATTTGCAGAATTATGGGGAAGAACTTATCGGGGTCGAATTGCGAAAAAGAATGTCGAAAATTAAGTTTTTAACGAAATCCGAAACTTCTTCCTCCCGATAGAGCTAATGCTGACAAACGAAAATTCGAGGGCATCAGACGAACGGCGAAAGCGAGACAAATACAATGACGTCGGTGGTGAGACTCACGGCGGTACGGTCAAAGACAAATCGGAGAAAGAGTGAACGGCAACAAAATGTTAAAAGAAAAGAAAAAAAAAATGCTTTTGGGGCCACGAACATGAGAAAGAAGAAAAAGGGTTTAAAACTACAAATTACACCGCAAGACCTTCAATTTTGAAAATTCTCAAATAAGCATAAAATGTTTCAAAATTTATCCTAAAATTTAAGCTGTTACAATTAATTTTATTAATTTAAAATTTATTAAACAATAAAATTATTTTATAAAAATACTAAAAATCTTATTTTATAAATTATTTTAATTAAGAATGATAAATTGTTTTACAAATTATGTGTTTAATTCTAAATATATGTATTGCTCACATGCATACATGTATCTCTTAAATAATAATATCTTTAAAATGCTCTATTGAATACGATGTTACTTAATTCTGTAACATCAACACAGTTAAGAAAGTACTCAAAAATCAAAGTATAAAATAAAAATAAAAGATCTATAGTATTATAAAAGAATAATGAAAATTGAAATTATACGTTTACCGGACAACACTGTATAATATGTATCACAAATGTCATCACTTATTCATTTAATGATTTAAAAAAGATAAATTATATCAAATTAAATTATAAAAATAATAAAATTATTTTATTAAATATTTAATGCTCCACTTTATTCTCAAATGCAAAACCCTACATGCAACATTTTCCATTGAGCTCTGATGAATAATTCAGAAAAAAAAAGATAAGAAATAGTCAAAAGACCGCAAAATAAATACAAGAGAAGGATAATCTACGACTCTACATAATACATATATTATATATATATATATATATATGATTATATAAATCGTTTAAATTAGAATATAAATATTTACAATTAAATTTAAACAGAAACTCGAACAACTCGATTCGATTCAACTCAACTCGAATTTCGTAAACTCAACTTCACTATAAATTCTTTTAAATAAATTTTAAATTATAAAATAAAAAACATCCACTCGATCAAATCCACACCACTAACCTTAGCTAATAATCTTGACTGCTGTTTCCCAAGTAAAATGGCATTTAATGTTCGCTGTGACCGGTTCAAGGGAAGCTCCACAAATAAATTCGTAGGCCAGAGAAACACCCAGTCAGCTCTCACTGGAAGGATAATCTACGACTCTCTTCCTATAAATTAATAACACATAATTAGATGTTCTTCAATATTAAAACACAAAGTAATGGGGTTTCGTTGTATGTTAATGGAGCTTGCTCTGTTTTCTATTAAGATGACAATCATGGCAACTTCAGTAGCAGCTCAAGCAAAACCTGGCTGCCAAACCCACTGCGGCAATATCACCATCCCTTACCCTTTTGGAACAGGCAGTGCCGAATGTTACATCAATGAGAGCTTTTTCATTCTTTGTAACACAAGTTTCGATCCTCCGAGAGCCTTCTTAACCACCACCGACATCGAAGTCCTCTACATCTCCGTCGATGGTTACTTGCGAATCCGATATCCTGTAGGCTATGACTGTTATAATTCATCGGGAAGTAGCAGTTATTTCTATGCGGGGTTCACGCTTGGAAAATTCTACATATCTCACACGAGAAACAAGTTCACGGCCATCGGTTGCGACACCTACGCTTACTTCGAGGGTTTCGTCGGGCGGACGTACTCGACCGGATGCGTGTCGTTTTGTTACGACGAGGCCGAGGTGGTAAATGTTGGGAAAATAGACCCCTTGTAATCCAACAATCCCTTTATATCACAACATTAACAAAAATACTTGAAAAATAAAAGAGAGAAAACACAATAATTTAACATGGAAAACTCCCAAATGGAGAAAAACCACAAGCGTTGTCAAAAGACAACCAAGAAAAAAAACATTTACTATGTGGAAAATTATTACAACCACACTACAAAATATTTAACTCTCACACATGCCCAAAAGCTAAAGTACACCCCAAGAGAATTTCCCTTTAAATTCTCTACTAGTATAGCTAATAGCTTTCTAGTACACCACTTGTATTTTGGTGATTGACATACATTTAACCAAAGGGAAATGTTCTATTTATAGGCTAAGAATTTTTCCATCCTTTGTTCATTTCCAATGTGGGATTTGGCCAATTTTTGCCAAAAACTAACAAATCTCCACCTTGACAAAAATTCCATACAATTCTTCACCATAAAAACAACAACTACGTCAATAACACCATCAGCTATGATAGTCACAATTCTAAAAACAAGAATTGTCATACTCCACCATAAGAGTATACACACTTGGAATTCACTAACTCCAAGAATTTTTACCTCGACCAGTTCATGTCGAAAAACCGCTAATAAGTTATGGTGCAACTTCCAATATTGACTTTCTAGGAAGTTCATTAGTCATCGACATCAATTCCACCACACACCTTGCATCAACTGTCAACCAATGCCCATGTGTAAATGTGGACATGCTACATTTTCATACATCCTTTTCCATGGCAACTCAATTGGTAGCTATCATGCCATGAGGATATATATATCTTACTTTAAAAAACAAATTCATCGTCTTCATTTTCAAAGACGATTACATTAGTAGCATCACTTTTGGAGCCATTAGCCGAATTAGCTCCACCATTTTTGCAATCCTTCTTTAGATGTCCAGGTTGCCCACATCCCCAGCAGATAATTTTCTTTTTGGAGCCTTTATACTTCTTCCTATTTCCACAAACCGACAATGCTCCACTTTCAGAAGATTTGTTCTCTCCATTTTTCAGCCTTCTTTCGTCCGAAATCAGCTTACTTGTCACTTCTGAAAAATTCACATTCTCTTTCCCGTACATTAAAACGGTTTGCATGTGCTCATAGGAAGATGGAAGAGACCAAATAAGTCTCAATGCTTTATCTTCATCATCAATCTCCACTCCAATAGATTCCAGTTCAGAAATAATCCCATTGAGTGCACTAAGGTGGTCAGAAATTTTTGTACCTTCTTCCATTTGCAATTTGTGAAATTTCTCCTTCAAATATAACCTATTTGAAAGACTTTTAGCTTGGTACATTTCCTCAAGCTTTTCCCAAAACTCCTTTGTTGATGACCATCTAGCAACATTAGCAAGAACATTTTTTGCTAGATAGAGACGAATCTGACTTGCTGCTCTCATGTCTAACTCCTCCCATTCTTCTTCACTCATCTTGGATTTTCCCTTGTCTCCACTGCTGTCACTAGGTTTATCTGGTTCCTTTCCTTCGAACAAAGAAGCTGGCTTTCCCTTTAAGGCCTTATACAATCCAGACTGGATTAGTATATCCTTGACTTGTACTTGCCACAACCCAAAATTAATTCTCCCATCAAATTTCTCAATATCAAATCTGAAACTCATTTTTGCTCAACAATGCTCCAGTGATCTCACACGTGAATAATGAGTGAACAATTGTGTCTACAAAATGCACTAAGAAAGTTTCCAGGAAAGATTGGGGGGACACAAATGGTACCGCTTAAGTCCCAACCTCCTTAGGCGATTATAGCCTTTGTGACAAAACTTTCTTGGCTACACTTACTTACACAATACCACACTCAATAAACACAATAACGTATTTAAAGGACCTCCAGTTGGACCACAACAATTTCTA